TTCGCATTTGAATTTTGCAGTGTTAAAAAATACCAAAAAAAATTCTCACTTTTTGACGATTACTCGGCGTGTGGGGCAGAGAGGGTCGAATTGGAAAATTAATTGTAGGTCATATAGCGAGATATAACGTCATATAATAATTATTTTAATACTCGTATGCTTTCCTGGTTAAAACTGCCGAAAACTCAAAAATGAAGCTGATCAAATGCACTAAAAATTTTTGATGAAAAAATCTTATCATCTCGGATTTCGATTAAACTCATAGTGTTTATGCACAATAGTGTTAGTAAAATTCTGTGAAAATTTTATGACACTTGGTCTATTAGTTTTCGAGATATTCGCATTTGAAAATTTTGCAGTGTAAAAAAATACCAAAAAAAATTCTCACTCTTTTGACGATGCTCGGCGTGTGGGGCAGATGGGGCAGATAGAGGGTCGAATTGGAAATTAATTGTAGGTCATATAGCGAGATATAACGTCATATAATAATTATTTTAATACTCGTATGCTTTCGGTTTTTACTTTTAAAACTGCCGGAAACTCGAAAATGAAGCTGATCAAATACACTAAAAATTTTTTGATGAAAAAAGTTTATCATCTCGGATTTCGATTAAACTCATAGTGTTTATGCACAATAGTGTTAGTAAAATTCTGTGAAAATTTTATGACACTTGGTCTATTAGTTTTCGAGATATTCGCATTTGAAATTTTGCAGTGTACCAAAAAAAATTCTCACTCTTTTGACGATTGCTCGGCGTGTGGGGCAGATAGAGGGTCCGAATTGGAAATTATTGTAGGTCATATAGCGAGATATAACATCATAATAATTATTTTAATACTCGTATGCTTTCCTGGTTAAAACCGCCGAAAACTCAAAAATGAAGCTGATCAAATACACTAAAAATTTTTGATGAAAAAGTCTTATCATCTCGGATTTCGATTAAACTCATAGTGTTTATGCACAATAGTGTTAGTAAAATTCTGTGAAAATTTATGACACTTGGTCTATTAGTTTTCGAGATATTCGCATTTGAAATTTTGCAGTGTACCAAAAAAAAAATTTCACTTTTTGACGATTGCTCGGCGTGTGGGGCAGATAGAGGGTCCGAATTGGAAATTAATTGTAGGTCATATAGCGAGATATAACGCCATATAATAATTATTTTAATACTCGTATGCTTTCCTGGTTAAAACCGCCGGAAACTCGAAAATGAAGCTGATCAAATACACTAAAAATTTTTTGATGAAAAAGTCTTATCATCTCGGATTTCGATTAAACTCATAGTGTTTATGCACAATAGTGTTAGTAAAATTCTGTGAAAATTTATTACACTTGGTCTATTAGTTTTCGAGATATTCGCATTTGAAATTTTGCAGTGTTAAAAACTAGTTTTGTAGAGTGTCGAATTTTCAATAAAACATGACACGAATTGTCACTTTTAATTCAATTGTCGCTAAGTTATACCTAAAAAACATTTTTAAAATTTTCCATTTTTTCCATGCTATTTCCATACGAAGCTTTGATTTAAATCTAAAAGTTAATATTAAGAGCTAAAATTTTTAGCTCTTTTAGCCCCTGGGAGCAATAAAATTCTAAAATATCCATATTAAGGACCACCTTAATATTTAACATATGTATATATATATATATATGTGTGTGTGTGTGAGTGTAAATACATATATGGATATATGTGTGTATGTACCTGTGTTTAGTTGCGTAAGTTTTTCCCAAGCGTTTCAGGTGGCGACAAATTTTCATTTGAATATTTCAATACGGTTTCAAGTGGAAATAGCTCTCCACAGGATTCCTGCATCAATAAAAAATTTCAGTATTACAAATATTTCAATAACAAATTTATCACATACATCATATAAAACATACATTCGAGTCATGCATCATGAAAAATTATATATATATATATATATATATATATATATATATATATATATATTACCCTCCGTCGGGCGCAGTCCAAATATGTACAGAATCGGGCGCAGTGTATCTGACAGACACAGATTATAAGTATATTGGCAGGAAGCTTATAGTTTTATATTTTTTTATTTAATTTGCGTTTCTACAATGCTGAATATGTATATTATGTGTAAACAAAAACAAAATATATATTAGATCAATATTATTTTTACAATATAGCAAAATATAAAATCCGTACATGCGCTCAAAATGCTAGACGCACAAACCTTACTTTTTCTGAAATGAATAATTTAATTAATTATATAACAACAATTGCCAGATTCTGTTGGAATGTTTATACAAAGACTATATAAACAATTAAGACAGTAAAAACTTAGTGTTTTTTGTCATTTTGTACGTCAAATAGAATTTGGCTTAGTGCGTTTTTTTTAACAAAATTGCTACTAGCCAAAATATGCGAAGCTGAAAGACAATCTAATATGGACGAATAAATAGTAGACATAAAATAACGAGGCTACTGAGATATGGAGATCTCGATGACATCAAATTATGGAGAAACATGCTAAAATGTTGGCCCTGTATCTGTCAGATCGGCTGCGCCCGGCGGAGAGTTAAGTTTAGAAACAATGATGCTTTAACGTATTTTAAACCAACTAATTTATACACGCAAAATAGAGTTTTGATCATAAAACGGAGAAATCACAATTGGGTTTGGTATGTATATAATTTTCTCCTTTTTATTTTTATAGTTAATATCAACTATTCTTATTCATGTAATATAATTTTCTAGATTACTGAATGATGACACACATTAAGTGTCGAAACGTTTAATAGAATTTTTTTTCTCTTTTAATCTTTTTTTTTAATTCGACGTTTGGGATGCAAAATACTTCATATATATATATATATATATATATATATATATATATATATATATATATATATGAAGTATTTTGCATTCCAATCGTCGAATTAAAAAAAGATTAAAAGAATATATATATATATATATATATATATATATATATATATATACATTGTATGATTCTGAATTTGATGTTGACATATGTATCAACAAAGTCTAGTAATCGGGCGTAACATCAATAAAAAACATGAATCTCTTTCAAAAATTTATTTTAAATCCATACGTTTAGACTATAATCCTAGCCTTCATTCAGTGGAAACTCATTCAATTGTTTTAGTTTTAATTTTATTTTAGTTTCCACTGAATTTAAAATAAATTTTTGAAAGAACTTCATGTTTTTTATTGTTGTTATGCCCTATTACTAGACTTTGTTAATATATATATATATATATATATATATATATATATATATATATATATATACTAGCTGACCCGGCAAACGTTGTTTTGCCATCAAAAATATGTTGCCCCTTTGCAGTGAAAATTATAGTTATTATTTGAACAACAACAACATGAATCAACCTGGATCAATACTATTGATAAAAATTTCCTTAAAATGTATATTAATAAAAAAAATTAAACAATAAATTAAAGTTTAGAAAAAATTTATAAAATTTATCATAAGTAATCAAGCGATGCTTTTACTTATAAATGTATTCGATTTAAGTTGATTGTGAAGATTTTCTATTAGTATCTTTATTTTTCAATTTTTAACCAGTGTTATATATATATATATATATATATATATAATATATATATATATAATATAATATATATAAATATATATGTATTATATATTTAAATATTATTCAAAATCACTTCTAAATAATTCTCATTTTAATTACAAAGAAATATAATATATAATATTCTAAGCAAAGTTACTATTAATTTAAAACACCACCTATATAACTTTCAGCATACATATATTTCATAAATACCATTATGCAAACATACAATTGACTGCATAATATTTTTCTAAACTTGAATATTACGATATATAAAAAATATATACGATATGATTAATTTATTATATTACATACATTATGCTTACTTATTTATGCATACATTATTCTAATTTCAATTATTTACTTGTTTCATATAGCTGTATCACATATTCCCATTCCATTATTATTACTCAATAATGAATGCTTTTATAAATCTAGCTTAAAACTAATTGATGCACAATATTTTGGACCAAATCCTCTTTGGTCAACATATAATTACCTGTGCAAAAAACATTGATTTTCTAATTCAAGTCCAAAAACGGGCATTGTTTGTCCCTGAGCCTTGGTAATAGTCATCGCAAATACTGTTACCTCTTAAATGGTATCGTGCAATCTGATGGTATCGAAGAAATTCATTCTAAAAGAATCACTTCTTATTTAAAACTTTCTTGCAGCACATGGCTTCTTTTTTATTTCTAAAGTTCATAGCCTGAAAATATTGGAGCATGTTTGTTGTCTTCGTCAAAATTGGGCTGTAATATTAACACAATGTGTTGCAGGCTGTAATATTAGCTCATTTTATTCATTGTAATTTCCTGCTTGATGAATTCACTATGAAACACTTCTATGTTTTAATACTTACATGGTTATTTTTCAATAGACTCAATAGTGCACCATCAATACAATTTACTTAATTAATAATAGTCAGAACCAACTGCACGTTAATCATCCATAGTAGTCATTTGAATATTTGAATTTTACCACTGTGCTTTATTAGATTTAGTTGTTATTAGAGTTAGTTGCTGTTAGGAAAATGATAAATTTGGTTATAATGCTTGATTTGTATCGTGTAATAATATAACGGTGTTCAATATATTATTATACATACCGTGAATGGTGATATTCTCTGCTAAAACTTTCAATAAGCATTTGACATATAATAACCTAACCTCACAAATATATTTCATCGTATGTTTATTATCAAATCACAATTGGCAACATAAAAATACATAATATATTTCCAACCGTCACCGTAGCTCATAGAAACGCATCGTAATGCGTTAACTCCTGCATTGAATTCGTGGCTCTATGGTTTTTGTCTAGAGTGGTAGACTCTCAAAATGTTTTTTAATTAAATAATATAAAATTTCGGCTATTAATTGAGATTTTTATTATATCCTATGTCCTAAATGGGATCCATATGTACACGGTGAGCAAAACCAATTTTAAATCGGTTCAGTATTTTAGGCGTCCATAGAGGACAACGCCTGTGACACTAAATTTATATATATAAGATATATATATATATATATATATATATATATATATATATATATTATATATATATATATTTTTTATATAATTATTTTCCACCCGTAGGCTTCTCATGGTGCGACCGAAGGCCTGGACGACGGCGCAGTAGTTCTGCTGCAGACGTCGCTCGGGCTGGCGCTGGCGGCTGGCTGCGGCATCAGCGGAGCAGTGCTGTGCAGGCAGAGCCAACAGTGCATCGTGTCCAGGCTCTATTTATGCGAATTCGGATTGGCGGGAGTCGGTTAGTATTTTATAATCGATATGTCGAATCGATACAATAAAATCCATTATTAACTTTCCGAAGGAGAAGTTTTGTGTTTTCATCAAAAAATCCGATTCGCTAATTTTATGTTTTCTCCACGTTTGAAGCCATTCTGAATCGAATGAGACCAAATTTGAGAAAAAGTATGTGTGTGTGTGTGTGTGTGTGTGAACAGATTTTTTGCTGTAAATCGACATTTTCTCAAAAACGGCTGGACTGATTTCAAAAATTTAAAAGCCATTCGATGTATCTCGACCAGGACTATCGTTTGTCAGTTTTGTGGGACGATCATTCAAGCCGTTTCTTTGTAAATCGCAGAGAAGTAAAAAAAATTGACCACGTTTTAGCCCGCAATTCTGATTCGATTTTGAAAATTCAAAAACCGTTCGAAAGATATTGATTGCGAATCGTGCTGATAAGTTTTTGGTAGAGATCGGCCGGGCCGTTTTCTTGTAATAAAGTGTTAAAAAAAATTTCGACGATTTTTATGATTTTTTTATAACGGTAGATACCATAGTCTTATAGATCATACTAAAATATTACGGCCCTGCGACAAGTCGTTTAATTTTAAAAATTCGTCAAACTTTGCAAAAATTAGAATCGTTTTTTTGGCGTTTGTCAAAATTAGACATTTCATCGACGTTTGCTCAAAAACGCCTGAATCGATTTCAGAAATATAAAAGCCATTTGATGTATCTCGATGAGGATTATCGTTTCTCAGTTTTGTGCGACGATTGGAAGAGCCGTTTCTTTGTAATCTGGAAAATAGTGTTAAACTTTTCGTCCACATTTAAGGTCATTCTACCGAATCGATTTTAAAAAAACAAAAACTGTTCGAAAGGTATTAGTTGCGCATAATACTGATTAGTTTTAGGTGAAAATTTACCGAGTCGTTTTCTTGTAATTAACTGTTGAAAAAAAAATTTAAGCCAATTTTTATGGAACTTTTTTTGACGATATATATCATGGTCTTATAGAACTTACTGAAATATTACGCCCTTACTACAAGTAGTTTAATTTTAAAAATTCACTAAAGTTTGAGAAAACGAGTAGTTTTTTTTGACATTTGTTTAAATTAAGATTAGACGATTTACTTGGTATAACGATAGAGCACTTGGTTTTAATGAACATACTAAACCATGAAAGTTCTACGGAAACTGGTTCAATTTGAAAATTGATGATTTGTGAAAATTTGCTTTTAGAAAATACTCCGAGTTAACGTGTTCGTTCGTTTTCAATGATGTGTAATAAATCCACTCGGAATACTTTTATACACTCATAAATTAATTTATTTTTTATTGATTCAGTCGATTATTTAGACATATCGGAAAGTTCATGTTACTTGCCTCAGGGCAAAATACTAATACCAAATAGTTTGATAATTCAGTTACGAAGGTCAATCCACGAAACCCAATGCATCAAAGAAAAAAAATTGACAAAATTTCTGAAGAAAACGCTATTTGTTATGTCATACATACATATATGGTTGGCTCATGGCTCATGCAGAAATTAGAGTCAGACACATAGTACAGATCATGTCTGTACAGTCTGTCAATTTATTATCAATATTGAATGCAATTACATTATTATTATTATGATTTTTGATTTATGTTCAAGGTGCGTCGTTGCTCGCTCTCTCGGCGGTTCAAGGATATCACGGACTTTGTATGGTGGCATGGCTTTATGGTTTAAGTTTGGGATCATTGTGGTATTCCATGAAAATGCTTGTACTAGAACGAGTCCGAGCTAAACAATTCAGCAGAGCATGGGGTAATTATATACAGTACAACCAACACCTTTAAAACAATTATTATTACGATTTATAGCATAATAGGGCAGAGTAGGGCAGGACACAAAGGTCCAATTTGTCTTTTTAGTAAATATGGCATGAAAACAAATAGCATATATCACTGTGTTTTGTGAAAAATTTATTTATTGCTATTAACTAAGCATGTTTAATAAGGGCAAATCTAATCATCTTATATATAAAAATTAATCACAAAATGTGTTGGTAAGCGCATAACTCAACAACGCCTGGACCAATTTCGCCAATTATTTTTTTAAAATGTTCGTTGATGTCCAAGGATGGTTGTTACGACGAGAAAAAATCGAATAATTGCCGGGAAAACCCTAAAAACAGCCCTTTTCTTTTTCTCATACAAACGTTTTCTAACTAAAACGTCAAATCAATTTGAGCTTTATTGCTATTATATAAAGTTCATAATAAATTACGAGCACTCACTGTATACTCCTCCTTGACGATTATTCGGATTTTGATAAAACATTTTGAATTTGGCAAATTAATTCACTTCAAATATAAAACTAAGTATTAATCAGGGCCGGTCCTACTTTCAATGCGATGCATGCGAAAAATACGAGCGCACGCCTTAGGGGGCGCCGACACAAGATACGGATATTAAATTTCAATATAGTTTTTTTTTAATATATAATTTCTTTGCATCTTTTACTAATCTATCCACAATATTTTTAAAATTCGTTAAAATTTCACTTTATAACAACAAATGGGAAAGTAAAGATGAATACATACAATTCGGTCCTCTCGATATCGATTAGGAGAAGTTTAAGATGCAATTTTGGATATTTTAAATAATAAAAAATTTAATTAATTTTATTCAACATGGAGTACCAGTGTTATGTTAAGGTTATGGCTATGTTATGCCGTTTAAAGGATTTCAATTTCCAATATAGTGTGGGAATTGAGACTCATTATAAATGTATATGCATTTTGGCGTTAAGAGTAATTTAAAAAACAATAATTATTTTTTTTAGGTGAACGATAAATATTAGTATATTATATTAAATAATTGTAGACATGGGTATAAAACAACGTCTTTCGGTTCATCTAGTAAAATATAAAACACGACGCAGACAGATCATATTACATTATTATAATGAATTGTATTGTCTGTATTAGATGTGTTAAGTTAGCATAATTTCCAATATTTTTAAGACTTTAAAACACTAATTTTTCTATACCAATTTAAGATTTGATACTTTATCAAGATAAATAATAACTTACTATAATTGTAGAGTACTATTATTTAAAACAATATAATCGTGCTACATTATTTACAAAATAATATTTTATAATTGTAATAAAAAGTAAAAATATATAGTTATGATTAATGTGCATAAAGTTAGAAAAAAAAGAGAGCGCGCAAGGATCACATGTGATTGGGATAAAACTTATTTGCTACTGTATAAAGTATAGTAATATGGCAACACTTGTAATGCATACATTTATTAGTGTCAACCATAATACACATTTATATAATGATAACATATAAATTATATATTTATAATAGCATTAAAAATATGTATGATATTTAAAAACAATAATGCAATTAAAGTCATATTTCCGCTTTTTGCTATTGGTTTATAATACAAAAAGGCGGAAGGGAGATATTTGACAACCTAATATGACATGATCGGTTTGTCATTGTAAGTAGCATTTAGAAATTAACCTTCATTAGAGAAACGAAGTAAATGCTGATTAATAAATTTTATAATATTCGTTCACACAGTAGATTGTGTTAAACAACACCTAAACAAATATTGTTTTTGCAACTTTAATAATTGTGTTAGAACAACTTCATGTAATTAAAATTAACATACATTCATTCACCATACAAACGGCGATATAATCTCATTCTATTCAGCTGTAATATCTGTTTTGCCTAAAGAATATTTTCCATTTTAATAACTTCAAAGATTTTTAGAAACTACGAATAATATAGAAATAATTTCTAAGGAGCAGGGTAAAATATTCTTCTGATTCAAGCATTTTTCATTATATCAAGATTTGTACTACGATGTAACTTTAAAATATTTATTTATCTATGCCGATTTCCTTGTTGGTATCGGTACGTATACAACGTCGATGCCGGCACGCATTCAACGACAGAATTCTATTCACATACACGACGACTAATCACAATCGACCCGTATAGAAATAATTTCATCGAAAGTGAATGACGTACAATTCTGCCGTAGCACTATTTCCGTTGCATTTGTACGGATTTACACCCTAGTCGCCTAAAAAAAGTTTTACTTCAAAACACATATAACGTCATAATTTTAAAGTTATACTCTTTGTCTTGTTCAGGTTTCGTCCAATGTGCCCAAGCAGTGCCATTTATGTTAGGTGTATACGTAACCGGTGAATTGAATGCCACTAGGCCTAGAGCAGGCTACTATTTATCTCTTAGTGCCGTAATGTTAGGAGCAGTGCTCCTATTTTTAATAAGGACTACCAGAAGACCACCGCCAGATACACCTTTAGTGACCACTCCGACGATCACCGCCAGTACTCCGAGATGTCTTTGTAGACACTTGTCTGTACCGCAACTATACCCGTACACACCAAAGTAAGAAACACAAAATTTAATGATTTAAAAAAGTATATATGATTTTATGTATACTTTTCCATTACAGTGATTACGGAAACGGTTATTGTGCCGGAGTCGGAAATGGTTATCCAAGCAGCACCTTATGTCGTCCCTTTGCAAACGGGATGAGCAAAAGTCTATCTTTTGCATCGCCAGCAGATTATTATTATAACCAATTACGAAGTCAGGCTGACGAATATTTTCTCAATTGTAATGTGACGTGCACAAAACCAGTAAATGGTGAGAGACAAAACAATAGTACTAACATAAATGTGGATCAATAAGACAGGTCGAAATAATTTACGCAAAGTCTAATTCGCACTATATAATTTTTGGTTGATGACAATTCTTAGAATATACTAATAATATTTTCTTAACTTTTCTATTTTTCGGAAATAAATTATTATGTGACCTAACTACCGCGGTCGGTCAATTTGACCGGTTAAAAATAAATTATTTGGAGAGTTGTTTTTGTCGAAATGTAGGTGCAGATTTATACAAAATATACCATATGAGCCAGACAAATTTAGAAGAAAATTAAAAGTCAATTATAAACATACAATACATAGGTTTCCCTAATTGGGAAATGACAAGAAGAGAAAATGTTCAATTCTTAAATTGGATAGTTTGTTGTTCTAAAACTGATAAATTCATTCACAGATTTTGAAGCAATTTGTATAAAACAAATTTCATTACTCTGGCGGTGTATAAAAAGTGATTGTCTAAGTTTTAAACTTTATCCAAACGTTTCCAAAATTATGAGATTTTGTATTAGTACATTGTTTGGTAAAAATGGCTAAGAAATGTAATTCTTCATAAATATTTAATTTTAATAGTTTTGCTCTCATAATTAACTTCTCGTAGGTTAGCATAGTAATGGGCCGAAAATCTAAAATGAAAATTTTTGCATTTCTCGACGTTTTGAAGGTTTCTGAACATTTTGGCATACCTCAGAAAAAATGGATGTGTGTGTATGTGTTTTGTATATCCGCATGTTTTTGTCCATGTTTACGGGCGCACGGATCAACCGATTTGGATGGTTCAACAAACATTCGACTCCTATTGATAGGGAGATGTGCTGATTAGTTTTTGGCAAAGGCAGGTTCAGCCTTTACGGAGATACGGAGCAAAGTGTGCAGAAAATACAAATCGAGATTTTGAGAGAACGGAGTATCGGATTTGAATAATCTAAAAAACATTCAATTTGTAATGATTGGGAGAAGAGGTGATTAGTTTTTGGCAAAGACAGCCCCCGCCATTTCGATGATACAGAGCTAAATGTGCAAAAAATCGCAGTTTTTGAGTGAACTAAGCTTCCGATTTGAATGATCTAAAAAACTTTCTGCTTGTATTGACAAAACAATTGCTTTTGAGGATAAAAAATTATTACATCTTTTTTTATTTTTCATAAAATATTTTTATAATTTTGGATTAAAAAATTAAAAAATTACCCAGGCTAAGCACAGTCTAAGCGCCACTCTGGTACAAATATTCACCCAAGTGCGTTTAGACTGTTTATGTAAGGGAGCACTGTGTCAATTTTGTGAAAACTATTGAAAAATGTGAAAATGCCGCCAAGCTAAGCACAGTACAAGTGAAAACGTTGCAAATGCGTTTAGACTGTGACTATACGAGTGATAGTCAAGTGACTATAACACTTTTTCAATTTTGTGTAAATTAGGCAACTATTTTTTTGAAATTGAATTCGAAATCAATTGACGATTGTTAATGTTCTAAAGATAAATTGATTAATGATTTACATTTGATTTGCTCAGATATAATATAACAAGATAGTAAAAATAATGAAAGTTACAGTATTTGCAATAATTTACTTGATAACGTTTAAAATTCCTCGAGGATTTTATTACGGTACGGGAAGTTCCAGCAATTTGCCTTAAGCTGATCATTATCTTAATTATATAATAAAATAGATAACTTTTTAATTGTTGGTCAATCTGACTCCGCCCGGCAGGAATATGTATACATGAATTGTTGTTAGGTTTAGTGTTAAGGTCATTTTTCGTCTAATTTCTATGTGATTTTTTATTACCCTTTGTTATAGGTTGTATTCCGAATGGCTGCGATGCCAGATTAGTATTGAGGCCGTCCAAGAGTGTACCTGAGGGCCTTTGCAGACGAGCGACCATGGACTACACCCATGCTGGTGTCACGCCCTTCAGAAGATGCCACTCGCAAAGGGCCAGAAATATACACTTAATCGAACAGATCACGACATCTGTTTGATAATTAGCACTTATTCGAAAATGTTGTGAAGTAGCAAAATTATTAAAAAAATTACGTAGATATAATGGAAAACTGGCATGATAATTTGGATTTAACATTGACCAGTATTGTTAAGGTAGACGAGTTAAATGACATAAGATGGTTTTTGAATTATTCAAACTTAGACATTTATCGAATACAAATAATATTTGAATGAAAGAAATTATGTCTTATTATATATCATGGAAATATTCTATAGATACTTCAGCATTGGTGAAGCAATTTTCCATCATTTTCAATTAAAATTTAATATACTCATTTTAAGTGTTAATATACCTACTAATATCACTTATCAAAATAAAACAAGGAATTATTAGTTTTCAGGGATCGAAATTATAATTTATTTAGCTCTAATCAAACTAATAAGAAAAAGATCAAATTATATTGTTATTATTAGGGAATGCAATACCGATAAAAAATTCAATACCGGTATTTCGGTCTTTTAAAACCGAAGATACCAGTAAAATACCGGTATTTTTATTATCTTAAACAAATGTAAACAGAATTGAAAGTTACTTTTAAAAGGTATTGGTATTTTGCCTTGAGGCAAGTTACATGAACTTCCCGATATGTATAAATAATCGATCTAATAAAAAAATTAATTTATGAGTGATTAAAAGTATTCCGAGTAGATTTATTACACATAATTGAAAACGAACGAACATGTTAACCCAGAGTATTTTCTAAAAGCAAATTTTCACAAATTAACAATTTTTATTATTGTTTGTTAAGACCAAGTACTCTATCGTTATACCAAGTAAATCCGTCTAATTTTAATTTGAACAAACGTCAAGAAAACTACTCATTTTTTCAAACTTTGATGAATTTTTAAAATTAAATTACTTGTTGTAAGGCCGTAAAATTGCAGTAAGTTCTATAAAACCATGATATATATCGCCAAAAATGTTCCATGAAAATCGGCTTAAATTTTTTTTTTCAACAGTTAATTACAAGTAAACGGCTCGGTAGATTTTCACCTAAAACTAATCAGTATCATTCCCAATGAATATCTTTCGCCCGATTTTTTAAAATCGATTCGGTAGTATGAGCTTAAATGTAGACGAAAAGTTTAACATTTTTTTTCAAATTTCAAAGAAACGGCTCGGCCGATCGTCGCACAAAACTGAGAAACGATAATGCTCATCAAGATACATCAAATGGCTTTTAAATTTTTGAAATCGATTCAGGAGTTTTTGGCCAAACGTCGATGAAAGGTCTAATTTTGACAAATGCCAAAAAAACGATACTAATTTTTGCAAACTTTGATGAATTTTTAGCTAAACGTGCTGTCGTAGGGGCGTTATATTTTAGTATTATCTAGAAGAATATGGTATCTACCGCCAAAAAATAATCATAAAAATCGTCGATTTTTTTTTTAAAAAACTTTATTACAAGAAAACGGCCCAGCCGATCTCTACCAAAATCTAATCAGCATGATTCCCAACCAATATCTTTCGAACGGTTTCTGAATTTTCAAAATCGATTCAGAATTCGGGCTAAAACGTGGACGAAAAATTTTTCACTTTTCTGCGATTTACAAAGTAACGGCACGGCCGATTGTCTCACAAAACTCAGAAACGCTAGTCCTCATCGAAATACATCGAATGGCTTTTAAATTTTTGAAATAGGTCCAGTCGCTTTTGAAAAAATGTCGATTTACGGCAAAAATCTGTTCACATACACGCACACACACACATACTTTTTCCAAACTCGGTCTCATTCGATTCAGAATGGCTTGAAACGTCGAAAACACATAAAATTAGTGAATCAGATTTTTTGATGTAAACAAACTTCTCCTTCGGAAAGTTAAAAATTTAAACTCGAGTGTGATATGTATCAACAAGCATTTATATAAAAATACCGAATATACCGGTATTTTTAAGACAAATGCCGGTTTTCAGGCAGTATACCAGTATTGCATTCCCAAATTGCATATAATTACGCCAATTATTTATTTTATTTTTTATTTTTCATTTATATCCATAAACTATCTTTTACCAATATCATATTTTTAGGTATTGGTTTGAAATTGTAGGTACAATGATTTAGATTGAAAATATATTTAACAAAATTGTTATATATGTTGTATAATTAATAGTATAAATGAAAGTTGTATATTTATTATATATATTTATTGGTTTAGTTGTTCCATAAAAATATTTATCCCATTGTTATTTATTAAGTAATTCATTTCATTATTTAATTAAATAATTTATCATCATTAGATGAAATTTAGTAAAATATATATATATATATATATATATATATATATATATATATATAATGACCGTTATGTCATCTATTATTTATTTTTCACAATTTTAATTGTCTGTTAATATCGAAAACATGTAGTTAGTATAAAAATATCACAATTTTGAAATTACTCATTCAAGCACCAAGTTGTAAATTGATTCAAACGTATTTTTATTATATCTATTAGAGTTACACTCTTCCATTAAAATAAATAAATAAATAAATAAATTAGAATGACTCTTCTCGGAAAAATCTTGATGTAAAAACTGCACTAGAATAAATATAATATTAATACTGCCATATTTTAAGTGAAATATTGGTTATAGTATATTTCAATTTGTGTTATTCATAATTTTCATTATTCATTTCTGAATCTATAACCAAACAACCTAATAATAACTTATTAATTTTTTTATTTAATTCAATTCAATGGCTCATCAATATTTTTTAATACAATTATATGCAAAAATTCAATTACTTTATGGCTAAATTTATTTTTGCACATATTAGTTTTACCAGTGTTATATTAAGAAATTTTCAATAATGAAAATGATTTATATAATAAAATAAATAAATAATATTATCTGTTATTCAGCCGAGAAAAAACTGTATTTAATTGAAGAATTATAAAAATTAAAATTAAAAATACGTTGATATTTTTCCATTGCAAATTTTAATACACGTTTTTCTATAATCATGTTACGTAAAATGAGTTGTGAATATAATTTAAATTTTATATGAATTTAACATAAAACAATGTAAAAGTAGTAAGATATAATAAAGAATTTTTATAGAAAGTTGTATTTTTACTGTAAATTATAAATTTCTCCAATTAAAAATATACTATTAATTAGCAAAAGTGCATTATTAACTGGCCGTAGGGTAGTTATAGTAATGGGCCGAAAATCGAAATTGAAAATTTTTGCATTTCTCGACGTTTTGGAGGTTTCTGAACATTTTGGCATACCTCAGAAAAAATGTGTGTGTGAGTGTGTATGTTAACTGTTGTAGACTCGATGATTATGTGAGTTTATTGATAACTCAATTTACAACGAAACTGATATGATATAAATTTTGATATCAATTTATTAGCCCGACAATTGATCGCTGACCAAAACCGAGAGACATAATTTCACTAACTTCAATTTTGAGAACAAAAAATTTTTTTGATAAAAAATGTTTTTTCTCATTTTATCATATTTTGAAAATTCTGAACTTTTTTCAAAGTAATCGTACTGGTTGAACTGCATAGAGACGAAATGTCAAAGCATTGATACGGAACCCATACCCATAGTAAAAAAAAATATACTTATTGTTTAAATCTCTTCAAAATATTTGATAATTTGATGTGCTTATGTCTAATAATCATTTTTGACCGCCAAATCTCATTTTTTTTACTTTTTTTATTAGATCTCCGCAACAGCTAGATCTGCCTCTATGAAAATTTGATCTATTCTTCATATTGTCAATACAAGTAAAATGTTTTTTAAATTATTAAAATCGAACGCTCCGTTCTCTTAAAAACTGATTTACCAATTTTGGCACATTTTGCTCCGTATATTCGGAACGGCTAGAAATATTCGCATTTGAAATTTTGCAGTGTACCAAAAAAAATTCTCACTTTTTTGACGATTGCTCGGCGTGTGGGGCAGATAGAGGGTCTGAATTGGAAATTAATTGTAGGTCATATAGCGAGATATAACGCCATAGAATAATTATTTTAATACTCGTATGCTTTCCTGGTTAAAACCGCCGAAAACTCAAAAATGAAGCTGATCAAATGCACTAAAAATTTTTTGATGAAAAAGTCTTATCATCTCGGATTTCGATTAAACTCATAGTGTTTATGCACAATAGTGTTAGTAAAATTCTGTGCAAATTTTATGACACTTGGTCTATTAGTTTTCGAGATATTCGCATTTGAAATTTTGCAGTATACCAAAAAAATTCTTACTTTTTTGACGATTGCTCGGCGTGTGGGGCAGATAGAGGGTCCGAATTGGAAATTAATTGTAGGTGATATAGCGAGATATAACGCCATATAATAATTATTTTAATACTCGTATGCTTTCCTGGTTAAAACCGCCGAAAATTCAAAAATGAAGCTGATCAAATGCACTAAAAATTTTTCGATGAAAAAGTCTTATCATCTCGGATTTCGATTAAACTCATAGTGTTTATGCACAATAGTGTTAGTAAAATTCTGTGAAAATTTTATGACACTTGGTCTATTAGTTTTCGAGATATTCGCATTTGAAATTTTGCAGTATACCAAAAAAATTCTTACTTTTTTGACGATTGCTCGGCGTGTGGGGCAGATAGAGGGTCCGAATTGGAAATTAATTGTAGGTGATATAGCGAGATATACTCCATATAATAATTATTTTAATACTCGTATGCTTTCCTGGTTAAAACCGCCGAAAACTCAAAAATGAAGCTGATCAAATGCAC